ATTTTAAAATGTAATTTATTCCTGTGATCAAAGCTGTATTTTCAGCATCATTACTCCAGTCTTCAGTGTCACATGATCCTTCAGAAATCATTCTAATATGCTGATTTGCTGCTCAAGAAACATTTCTGATTATTATTCATGTTGAAAACAGTTGTGCTGCTTCATATTTTTGTGAAAACCATGATGCATTGTATTTTTCAGGATTTTTGAAAATTTGAAAATTTAAAAGAACAGCATTTATTTGAAACAAGTCTTTACTGACTTTTTTGATCACTTTAATGCATCCTTACTGAATAAAAATATTAATCTTACCATCACTTAATTTTTGAATGGTGGTTTATATATCATATATACAGCAGAATAAATTTCAGCAAAAATTGAAATGCATACAAATCACATTTGGTTGATTTTAATCCATTTAAAGCCCTAAAAGTTAGCAGCAACAAAAGTCCCTCATGATCTCTTTTTCATAATAAATAAATATGTTCCATATAGCTGTTTCAGAGTAACGTCGTCAGCAGACAGTAAATGCGGAAGAACTAAATGAACAGTGAAAGATATAATGACGCTCCTTCAGCTCCAGACTTGTTATTTGGCCGCTCTGGTTTGATTGACGGCTCATGAACTTCTACGCAATCTCCAGGCAGCTGATGAGGAAACAATGGTCATGTTTCTTTTTCTTGGCCCGCAATCTATTTTGAATTCCCACGATCCCTTGTGGATTTGACGTGGCACATAAGAGACTCTGAGAAACGCTTGGCCGTCTCAAGCGCGCAGATCTTTTTGAGAACTGCAGAAATGTTGCCGTGACTAATGTGTCTAATTTCAGATCCAGGAAAAAGACTCCAGTGTAGCTTAGTACTGCGGCAGGAATCCACTGGAGATAGCAAATCAAAGAAAACATCCATAGGAAACTGAAATTGGGCTGGAGTTAAATAGGAACAAGTTTGATGTGTGTCATGACAAAGAGCCGCGATTGCGTTGGCTCGGATTTCACATCTTTAAGTAACAGGATATTTAACGCACTTTTTTATATGCACTTTATGGCAAAGCCATAAGCTCATCACTGTAAACAGCCTGTTTGTGCTGATTGGCCAAAAGCAAGACTCGACCTACTGAATACAGAACCTCTCAGGGTGATGAAAGACACCCGTTTACGCTAATGTGTTTTTTAACACAATTTAGTTTTACTTTTCTTTTTGTTTTCATTTTGAAAAGCTTTACGCTATGTGTGTGTTTGTGTGTGTGTGCGTATGTATATATGTTAGTTATATATATATATATTTAATACAAAATATATATATTACTCAGGAATCTGTATTTCACCTTATGTACAATACTATTCAAAAGTTTGGGGTCAGTAAGCTTTTTAAAGTTTTTAAAGTATCTTATGCTTACAAAGGTTCCATTTATTTGATCACAAATACAGTAAAAACATTAAAATATTATATAATGTAAAGAAGCTAGTTTATATGTGAATATATTTTAAAATGTAATTTATTCCTGTGATCAAAGCTGTATTTCGTTGGCTCGGATTTCACATCTTTAAGTAACAGGATATTTAACGCACTTTTTTATATGCACTTTATGGCAAAGCCACAAGCTCATCACTGTAAACAGCCTGTTTGTGCTGATTGGCCAAAAGCAAGACTCGACCTACTGAATACAGAACCTCTCAGGGTGATGAAAGACACCCGTTTACGCTAATGTGTTTTTTAACACAATTTAGTTTTACTTTTCTTTTTGTTTTCATTTTGAAAAGCTTTACGCTATGGAGGCTTTCTTTAATGTTTTTGTTTTTTATTTAGTGTGTCATGACAAAGAGCCGCGATTGATTGCGTTGGCTCGGATTTCACATCTTTAAGTAACAGGATATTTAACGCACTTTTTTATATGCACTTTATGGCAAAGCCATAAGCTCATCACTGTAAACAGCCTGTTTGTGCTGATTGGCCAAAAGCAAGACTCGACCTACTGAATACAGAACCTCTCAGGGTGATGAAAGACACCCGTTTACGCTAATGTGTTTTTTAACACAATTTAGTTTTACTTTTCTTTTTGTTTTCATTTTGAAAAGCTTTACGCTATGGAGGCTTTCTTTAATGTTTTTGTTTTTTATTTATTTGATTCCTCAGTGTTTTCTAAACATTCTGTAATTTATTAGTTGGTATATAAAATAGCATGTGGTGTATGTCATGCCTCGTCTTATTCGTTTTTTGTTAATAAACGTTATGTAAGGTAGTTTGTCAATATAGCCTACCGTTTTATTGTTGTTGTGCTTTTTAATTAAGAATAACAATGAATCCATCTTTTGTTTTAGTCCTAAAAAGTCTAGTTTGTCAATATAGCATACCGTTTTATTGTTGTTGTGCTTTTTAATTAAGAATAACAATGAATCCATCTTTTGTTTTAGTCCTAAAAAGTGAAAGGTGTATAGATATAAGCAAAACAGACAATTAATTTTTTTTTGTAAAACGTGACACCAAGATCGCAAATTCGAAAGTGAAAGTGCGCGAAGCCTGGCTTATAACACAGCAAAAGAGGAATTCCCATTCACAAAATTTAAATCACAAATGTGACCCTGGACCACAAAACCAGTCTTAAGTCGCTTGGGTATATTTTTAGCAATAGCCAAAAATGCAATGTATGGGTCAAAATTATCGATTTTTCTTTTATGCCAAAAATCAAGTAAAGATCATGTTCCATGAAGATATTTTGTAAATTTCCTGCCGTAAATATATCAAAACGTAATTTTTGATTAGTAATATGCATTGCTAAGAACTTCATTTGGACAACTTCAAAGGCGATTTTCTCAGTATTTAGATTTTTTTGCACCCTCAGATTCCAGATTTTCAAATACTGTAGTTGTATCTCTGCCAAATATTGTCCTATCATAACAAACCATACATCAATAGAAAGCTTATTTATTCAGCGTTCAGATGATGTAGAAATCTCAATTTCAAGAAATTGACCCTTATGACTGGTTTTGTGGTCCAGGGTCACACATGATAATGATGAAAAAGAACGGGTGGAATGTTGAACACTCATTACCATATAACTATAAACTATGATAAAAGTTCATCAGCATGCATTGAATAATACCATGTTGTAGAAAAAAAAACTGCGACCAAATTATGCGCTCGTGTGAGAAAGTTAGTCGTAAAAGAGCGACCAGTGGGAAGAATATTTTCCCATTGTTCTGATGGTACATTTATGTATGAGCTCAAGTATAAATACAGGTGCATCTCAATAAATTAGAATGTCGTGGAAAAGTTAATTTATTTCAGTAATTCAACTCAAATTGTGAAACTCGTGTATTAAATAAATTCAATGCACACAGACTGAAGTAGTTCACAATTTGAGTTGAATTACTGAAATAAATTAACTTTTCCACGACATTCTAATTTATTGAGATGCACCTGTATAAATATAATATTTTTTTATTTTATTTTAAACAAACAAATCACCAAAATATATCAGGAAAATATAAAAAATTAACTCAATATTTTTATAATAAGAAATATATATAGCTCATTATAGCTATAGCTGTAATTTCATCATATATTTACAAATGCATTTTGCCCCCCCCCAAAAAAAAACTTTTATCTTTTTTAAATAGCATATGTCGTAACTTCATTACAGACCTTCCTAAAAACCCATCAGTCGTAATTCTAAAGTGGTACATCTATTATTCTGTGTTTGACTGCCACCTGTAATAAAGGCGTCCATTCATGACGGCAGATTACAGCTTATTATCTTAATTAAAGCAGGATAAACTTGCAGCTCCTGTGCTGACAATGATTAGGCGTAGAGGAAGAGCCATTTCGTGGTTAATCTGACACTAACCTCTGGCTGACACCTACAGCTTGATCCGCTGCCAAACGGAGGAGTTAGCGGCTAGTTTCGTAGCTTGCATGGAACGGGAGCACACAATGCCTTAGCTTATGTTAGCTTCACCTACAACATGAAGAGAAAACAAGAGAAAGAGAAGTAGTTTGACAAGCTTCTGACTGAAAGCACAGTGACTGCGCTGAGTGATCAGCATTCTTTTTGGACAAAAACCTGTTGCACCACACGCTCCCTCTCCGACTGAGATAATGCAATCATTACCTGTCACTTCAAACCAGGTATGAAAACTAATTTGATGTGCTTTCTGTGTTTTGATCCAGGACTCTGGCAAGGCTGTGTCTCTAGGCTTGTGGATGGAGGAGATGATCTTCAACTTGGCAGATTCACGTCTGTTTTTCAACGACCTGGAGGTGAGCCAAACATCAGAATCAACAAAATCACTTTTTTTTTTTTTTTCATTTAATGCCAAACACTCTTTTTTGGACTTCAGCATTAGATGTATATATGAACAATCACAAAAATGGTGTTAATTATAACAATACAGATAAAATAGTTTGTATTGTAAGAAGAAAGAGAGAGCAGAGTAATATGTATATATATGTATGTATGTAAGCTTGGGATAAAAAAAAATAAAACAAAAAAAGGTAATTATCTTATTTTCTCATAATTCTCTGAAAATAGAATTGCAACTAAACTCATTTGCCACATTCTCATATTAAAAAAAAATAAATAAAGTCTTAGTTGTGAGATAAAAACTTGCAATTAACTGCCATGCACTTTTTGGCATTAAAAAACAGAACTGAACTCTTGAATTGACTTTTGAAAAAAAAGTCAAAATTGTGAAATATAAACTTTTTCTCAGAATTGCAATTCGCAACCTTTTATAAACTCACAATTTTGAGAAAAAAAGGGAAAAAGGTGAAAATTCTGATTAAAAAAAAGTTTATACCTTTATAACTCGCAATTCTGAGAAAAAGGTCTGAATTGACCGTTCACAAAGAGATTGATTGACAAGCGATCTGACCAATCATAATGCCGAATCCGCCATATTGCCCGACAAACAAATCAGACAGGAGAGTAGATTAACTTCGGTGGACTTGACCTTGAAGAATATTGTGTGTTGACGTCTTTCTGTGGTTGAAATAAAATAAGTTCTGATGTTCATTCATGTTCATTTCATGCTTCAGCTAAATATGAAAAGACGTTCGGTTCAAGTGTACCGCTTCAATACAGTGATCTGTAACGACACATTAAAGAGCCACAAAACTGAATTTATTGTTTGAATTTCTTAAAAATTTGAAAGCTGAGATCTTGTTTCATACCAGAAGTAACCTGCTCTGTCTTGTCTGTCTGCATGTTGTCAGTTTCCTCTTTGCTCCGTGATGTATTTTTTACTGCGTGAGCACATGATGTGTAATGTGAGAGCGGCATGGCTTGTCGGACATAGCAACAATAACTAAGAAGGGCAGGTTTTTCTCGAACAGTCACTTGTGAGATATAAACTCATATTTACTTTTTTTTTTTAATTCCTTGGCAGAAAAAAGCTTCCATAGATATGAGACACGAAACTAGCACAAATGTCCCATGTCAATTCATAAATAAAACATTTACTGCAGAATGTTGCAACTGGCCATTCAGAATCAAGTAATCTATAGAGCCACATAACCAACTTCTCTTATTGGTAGGAATCTTCACCTCTCAGATTCTCCAGTAGAACTCCTAAAATATGAGGAAGAAATCATGATGTGTCTTCATGTTTTTGTGACAGCTGCAGAAACTGGCTTTTTCTGTTTGTCACAATTATGCAAAGAAACAGCTAAATAATTCATCATAAAGACTACATAAAATATGTACATTACTATTTAAAGGTTTTCAAAAAAATAATTGTGTAATTTTATTCAGCAAGCATGCATTAATTTGATCAAAAGTGACACTAGGGATATTTATAATGCTATACAAGATTTCTATTTCAAATAAATGCTGTCCTTTTGAACTTTCTATTCATCAAAGAATCCTGAAAAATAAAATGTATCACAGTTTCCACAAAAAACATGAAGCCGCAAAACTGTTTTAAACATTGATAATAATCAGAAATGTTTCTTGAACTGCAAATCAGCATATTAGAATGATTTCTGAAGATCATGTGACACTGAAGACTGGAGGAATGATGCTGAAAATTCAGCTGCGCATCACAGGAATCAATTACATTTTACAATACATTCACATAGAAAACAATTATATTAAATTGTAATAATAAATCAATGTTTTTACAGTATTACTGATCAAATAAATACAGCCTTGATGAGCAGAAGAGACTTCGTTCAAAAACATTAAAAAAGCTTACCGGCTCCAAACTTCTAAAAAGTAGTTTATATAAGGCTAAACACGTATTCATATTTATTATTTATTTAAAAAGTGAATTTAGAGCTGTTTATGTGTGTTTGTTCAACAGTCCATGACCTGACAGTAATGCAGAGTCAGTGTGTGAAAGACCTCGGTTTGCCCTCTGCATGAAGAAAGGAGGGATTAGATTCTCTAAAAGCTTTCGAGGAGGTGCAGCAGAAACCCTGACAGAATCTGAGGTCTTAATTAAGGGTGTGTGGCTGCCACTGAAAAGAAAATTTGTCCCGGGGAGGAACAACAGCTGAGGGGTGGAGGGCACACACACCATTTTTTCTTGAGCAGGTTTTAATGACGGCCCCCTTCCCTCTTGTTCTGTTTTCCCTGTAATTGCACTCAAATAGTCCAAGGCATCATTCAGCATTCAAACACTGAGAGTTCAGTCTATTCAAACGTGTCAGCTGGGGAACAGAAAGCTGCCGCGGGCAAAATAACCGCACAGGGGTCAACAGCTTAGAAATACACGTGATTAATGGCCTAACTTGGTCATTTAATGCTTTAATTAATCAGAAAAAATTAATTAATGTTTGGTAGAGAGTAGCAGAATAGTTCAAGAGTGACCACGTCTGTCAAGCATTAAAAAAAACAACAACAAAAAAGCAATGGAATTATTTTATTATATTATTGGAATTTTTATTAGAAATATTCTGAGAAAAATTAATGTTTGGTAGAGAAGGTATCCGAGGTATCCGAAACTGGTGATTGAAGTTTTTTGGGTTTTTTTGGAAAAGAAATTAATGTTTTTATTCAGGAAAGGCACATTAAAGTGGTTAAAAGTGATACCAAATACATTTATAAAGCTTAGAAAATCCAACCTTAAAATAAATATATATCTTTTATTGATGTAGTTTTATTATTGCAATCGTTTTAAATTACTAGAAACATATTTTATGAGAAAAATTTAATTAAGGCAGCTTCTAAGATTCTATTTACACTGTTAAAATAGTAGGATTTTCTGCTATTTATACAACTTATTGCAAATAGTGGCAATTATCTGCATCTCAGTATTGTAGTACATTATAAGACAGAACGCAATAATAATGTATTTTGAGTGTAAATTGTAATATTAATTCAAATTATTAAATGGATGCCACCTTATTGGAACAATAAAGCCCTCCCTACACCTACCCGATACATTATTTTCAACTTTTCAATTATTTCCTTAATTTTTATTGAAAATAAATGCTGTTCCGATGTGATGTGAGATTTGGAAAGAGAGGAAAAAAGTTCGGCAAAAGGCAGGTTAGAACTCGGGTCGATCATTTCAAAAAGACTACGGTCCGCGCTTTAACATCTACACCACCGGAGCTGATGATTACCAGTCATTCAATTCAATTCAAGTTTATTTGTATAGCGCTTTTCACGATGCAAATCGTTGCAAAGCAGCTTTACAGAAAGTTTCTACATTATATTTAGTTATAGCTTATCAGTGGTGACTGTCTCAAGTTGATGTCCATATGGCAGTTAGTTAATGTCATGTAATGCAATATTTGGTAGTTTTGTATGTTGTCTGAGGGTTGGCATCATCTCTTCTCAGGTGTTCGGTCATCTCAGGTCTTTGTAAGGGCTGGATCCAGACTGAAGCTTGTGTAATTGCTAGTAGGAACAGTTAGAAGGCAATAGAGAAAAATTAGCGTAGCTGCTGTTCCAACTAAGCAAAAAATGATGTGTTCAACCCAAGCTAAAGAATGAAAATGTGCATTTGATCAGATGTAACTGCAGTACAAGATTATGAGATGCATTATTTGAATGCTTGGCCAAAGAGATGTGTCTTTAATCTAGATTTAAACAGAGAGAGTGTGTCTGAACCCCGAACGTTATCAGGAAGGCTATTTCAGAGTTTGGGAGCCAAATGTGAAAAAGCTCTACCTCCTTTAGTGGACTTTGCTATCCTAGGGACAACCACCTAGCAGTGCATTACAATAGTCCAGTCTAGAGGTCATGAATGCATGAACTAGCTTTTCTGCATCAGAAACAGGTAACATGTTTCGTAACTTGGCAATGTTTCTAAGATGGAAAACATTAATCATTGGCAACATTCAAGTCATCTTTTGTTGTGTTGACTAGATCAATCACACGTTGGTGGGCGGAGTTAGTGTAAATAGCCTCTGCCAACAAGATGGCCTATTTGCACTTAGTGTAAATACACTCCATTAAATTAATGTTTGGTAGAGAAGATATCAGAGTAGCAAGATAGTTACAATGAAACTGTTTTTTTTTTAATATAAATTAATTATTATTCAGCAAGGACACTGTAAATTGATACCAAAGATATTTATAATGTTTTTAAAAAAAAATTATATTTCAAATAAATGCTCCAAATGTTCTTTTGAACTTTATTAATCAAAAATCCTGAAAATAAAAACACAATGAAAGTCTACTTCTATTAAAAAAGCAGTGTATATAGAAATATACAGTATATAGTATATGTGAAAGTCTAGTTCTATCTAAAAAAAGAAGAGAAAAAAGAAAATGTGACCTTGGACCACAAAACCAGTCATAAGGGTCAATTTTTTTAAATTTACACATGAAAGCTGAATAAATAAGCTTTCCATTGATGTATGGTTTGTTAGGATAGGACGAATAAGCTTTCCACTGATGTATGGTTTGTTAGGATAGGACGATATTTGGCTGAGATGCAACTATTTGAAAATATGGAATCTGAGGGTACAAAAAAATCAAAATATTGAGAAAATCAGCTTTAAAGTTGTCCAAATGAAGTTTTTAGCAATGCATATTACTAATCAAAAATTAAGTTTTGATATATTTACAGTAGGACATTTACAAAATATCTTCATGGAACATGATCTTTACTTAATATCCTAATGATTTTTGGCATAAAAGAAAAATGGATAATTTTGACCCATACAATGTATTTTTGGCTTTTGCTACAATATACCCCAGCGACTTAAGACTGCTTTTGTGCTCCAGGGTCACAAATGAGAAAATGTAGTTATAATTACAGTCATTTAAGAACAACAGAAGTCAGTGGGAGGTCGGCAACATGAGATTATTAAGATAAACATGATGTGTTGTTGAGTCATATCTGTGAAAATATGAAAAACAATAGTTAGAGCATGAATGTGTTTTGCCAGTGCTGAAGGCCGAGCAATTCTTTCTGCGAATTCGAATCCAAATTTTTATCAAATTTGCAAGAGTTGCTAAAACAGCAAGGAGAAGCACGCTAGATAATGATCTGGAGTAATTAGTGTATATTGGCAGCCGTACGCACAAACCCAGCCAAGACAAAAGCGTTAATTAACGTCCAATATCGGGTTTAGATGGTGTTACCATCTTTAACCCTCCAGCGTTAAAGGCGCCTGGATGTCTTGGGTCGCGGTGGCCTGGTTTTGCTTTTTTGTTGTTTGTCTTTTTTAATATTTCTCTCTCGCTCTCACCATCGTTCCCCGAGGCTCGGCGGCGGGTGAACCTGTCTATACACAGTACATCACTTTACACGGCTGTAACGTATATCCGCCTCATGCGTATCTGCTTTCCTTTCATTTCCCAGGAATGTGACCAAGTTCACATCGATGATGTGGCCTCGGATGACAATGGGCAGGACTTGAGGTAGAGTATGACTTTCCTTCATCTAGCACAGCGAGCAACAATATGAGCATTTCCAATAAAACAGATATTATGGGCCGTAAAGGGATCCTGTACTTCATGCTGCTGACATATTGAGTATTAAACGTTGTTGGTTTTTATCATAGTTTTGAGGCAAGCCCTCGCTCTGCTTCCAGACGTTTTATGATGGACATTAATCACACATTTAAGAGCACGTCTATGGAGTTATTAAATGAACAGTCCTCTGAAAATTACATTTCTGTCATTATTTACTCACCCTTTTATTCCAAACCCATATTAATACTCCAAAAAAGTACCATAAAAGCAGTCTATATAATTTAGTGTAAGTGTTTTATTTTCAATTATTTATTTATTCAGTTTATTTATTTATTTACTATGAACTGATCCTATATGAAAAAGCAACAGGAATATTTTTTCAAAGCTCCAAAAGTATAAAAATATTCCAAGTACCCTAAAAGCAATCTATGTTTTATTAAATATATGTTATTTCAATTTATTTTAAATTATTTTATTGATTTTTTTACTGAAATGTACTGACTTTTTCCCCCACTTTATTAGTTATTTAGTTATGAACTGATGCTATATATATATAAAAATCTGCAGGATTCTTTTTTAAATAAAAGAAGTTTATTTTTAAATTTTTTATTGGTTTTACTGAAAATATCTTATTTCAATTTACTGATTTTATTTTTAAATTTGTGAAAAAAAGCAGCAATATTTTTAAGTGCAAAAACACTCCAAAAATTATTACATGATTAAAATGATGTAAATATCTGTAAACATATTAAATGATGTAAACATCCTATTATTTAATTTATTTTAAAATCTTGAATTTTTTTTGTTTTAATTTACAGATTCCTATTTATTTATTTATTTTCTTACTGAATATGAATTGATGCTATATGAAAAAAGAAGCAGGGACATTTTTTTTAATCGAATCTCCTTTTATGGAATGACAAGAGGATGAATAAATTATGGCACAATTTTCATTTTTAGGTGAGCTATATCTTTAACATAACGGCATGCTGACACACTGGTTATCAAACATTATAGTTTCTTATCAGAGTTTGTAGGCAGACTCTCTCTCTGCTTCCAGACATTTTACGATGGACATTAATCAGACTTTTAGGAGCTTGTCAGAAAGTGTGGAGCGGATCTGAAGCTGACCGTGTGTGTGTGTGTGTGTGTGTGTGTGTCTGTCTGTCTGTCTGTCTGTACTTGCAGCACGTATAACTTTGGCACGGATGGCTTCCAGAGCCCAGCAGGTGGAGGCACGCTCTGCTTGGGCTCAGGTGTTCACGGCGGGGTCGACTGGATGAGGAAACTTGCCTTCCGCTACCGCAGAGGCAAAGTGGACAGTTGTAGTTTGTGACGTTCTAATACATTAAATATGTAATAGGTAAAAATGTAAAAGAAAATAATATTTATTATGGATTTTCAGTTCTTTGAAATGAAGTAAAAATAAATGAATAAATAAATTAAATGTATTAAAAGAATAAATGATTTTTTTTCTTGAAATTAAAAAAGGGAACATAAAAGTGCCTGTAGTTCAAGAAATTATTATTAAATATGATTTAATATAAAAATAGTCAGAATAAACCAAATTATTTGTTTTACATCATATTAGAAAAAATGTTGACTTTTTTCTTGTTTTAATTAGAACAAATAAACAAACAAACAAACACTGGAACATAAAAGTGCCTGTAGTTCAAGAAATTATTATTAAATATGATTTAATATTAAAATAGTCAGAATAACCCAAATTATTTGTTTTATATCATATTTGAATTTTTTTTTTTACTTTCTTCTTGTTTTAATTAGAACAAACAAACAAACACTGGAACATAAAAGTGCCTGTAGTTCAAGAAATTCTTATGAAATATGATTTAATATTAAATTATTTAGAAAAAAAACAAATAATTAATTGTACATTTTATTGTTGTGGTTATAAAAGCAGCATGTGTTACACTGGTTTTAAGATGTTTTTACGCACTCCACTTAGTTCGCTCCATGCCAAACAACCCTGTAAAATCACTATAAGTCATGGCCAGTTGGTGACATTTCTTACTGTCATTTTTGGATTCTCAGAAGCCACATTCATTAATTGGTTTCATGCATGAATCTTCAGTGTGATGATCAGCTGGATTGCTGTTGTTTTGCAGGTTTGCTGGGCAGTCCGAAGCGGGAAGAGTGGCTTCAGCTGAGGCGGGAGATGGAGGTTTTGACGGATCTGTGGCTGACGCAGGCACTCAAAGCTCTCGCTCTCATCAACTCCAGGTGAGCACAGCACACATACGATAACACAGCAATACTCCATCTTAAATAAACAAGAGTTCAAGAGCAGAAACTAGTGTCTGTGGTAATCCACAGCGTGCCACAGATACTGAATCTGGAATATTCCTTTAACAATAGACTTACTCTACAGCAGTTTTGTGTCACTCAAACATAATAGGTTTTGGCAAGCAAAGATTGATGACACTGACAGATGATGATTAATAGCACAGCATATTTCTGTCTCATGACTTATTTTACTTATTTAACACGAAAGTGAGGTTTAGCAGAACATCTGAGCTGCTTTTCAATGAAATCTATGTAGTGACCAGAACCTGTCAAGATCCAAAAAGAACGAAAAGCCATCATAAATGTAGTCCATATGAACAGTGCTCTGAAGCCATACGATAGAAACTATGGAAGTTTATTTTCACCACAGAATAATAAAATAATACAAATCATAACAATTCTGCCTTTTTTTTTGTTTTTGTTTTTTTAAATCTAAGGTTACATCTCATAATTAAATGGAATAAAAAATGTAGATAATTGCAACTTTATTTTTTTGCAATACTCATTTTTAATTTTATTTATTTATTGCAATTGCAAGTTTACATCTCCCAATTTGGATTTTGCAATTATGAGTTTATATTTCACAATTATGAGATTATATCTTGCAATTATGTTCATGTCTCGCAATTATGAGTTATATTTCACAAATATGAGATTACTGTATATCTTGCAATTATGAGTTTACATTTTGTGATTGAGTTATACAGTGGGTACGGAAAGTATTCAGACCCCCTTAAATTTTTCACTCTTTGTTATATTGCAGCCATTTGCTAAAATCATTTAAGTTAATTTTTTTTCCTCATTAATGTACACAAAGCACCCCATATTGACAGAAAAACACAGAATTGTTAAAAATTTAAGGGGGTCTGAATACTTTCCGTACCCACTGTATTTCACAATTATGAGATTATATTTTGCAGTTATGAGTTATATTTCGCAATTGTTATGTCTTGTAATTATGAGTTAATTTTCACAATTATGAGATTATCTTTTGCAAATATGAGTTATGTTTCACAATTGAGATTGTATTTCACAATTATGAGTTTATATTTTTGCAATTCTGAATTTATATCTTGTAATTGTGAGTTAATATTGAGTTTATTTTTTGCAGTTATGACTTTATATCTCACAATTCTTAGATTATATTTCGCAATTGAGTTTGTATCTCACAATTCTTTTTTTTCCCCTTTTTATTCCATGGCTAAAATAAGCTTCCATAAGAAATAAATACAAATTAAGCCTTTTTTTCTCTAAAATCTTCCCCTCCATCAAAGCTCTAAATCTGTATGTTTTTACAGAGAAACAGCTCAACTAAATCCAGACCAGATTTGTATTTATGACTGCAGTATTCCTTTAAGAGTCCTTCATTTTTGTGAATGAGTTACTTACATATGTTCCCTCTCACAGACCGAATTGTGTGAACGTGATGGTCACCACCACGCAGCTGATTCCAGCACTCTCCAAAGTACTGCTCTACGGGCTTGGAGGAGCTTTTCCCATCGAGAACATCTACAGTGCCACCAAAACAGGTTGAATGCTTCTTCAAACGCTGCATTTCAGAAAGTTTTCCTGATCTAGAAACAGAATTGTTAACGTCGTGTGCCTGTTCTAGGTAAAGAAAGCTGCTTTGAGCGCGTGACCCAGAGGTTTGGCCGCAGAGCCGTGTATGTGGTTGTAGGGGATGGAGTTGAGGAGGAGACGGTTGCCAAGAAGGTAAGACGGAATAATGGCAAAACACATGCTGAATGAGTACTGTAGTATGGGATTGTAAAAAGAAACATGGCCTCTTTTTATTAACAAAGGCTAAGTGAATGCATACTCTTTTGGGCAAAAAAAAATGTAAAAATCCAGTATACATTTAAAAATAATAAAGATCTATGTATTATTAAAATATTAAACATGATATATTTATATTTGTAATAATACTAGTTTTATTTTATAATTCAGTCACTTTTATTAGCTTTTATATTATTAAAAAAAAAACATTTTTAATTATAGTTCAGTAGATTGTTATACTATTCAATATTTTTGTCTTTATAATAATACATATTTTAAATATATTTTAAAATATTAAAAGAAATTGTGCATTTATGTTCATTTATATTATTATAGTCTTTTATAATAATTTATATTATTAAAAATATGTAAATATAATTTATATTAGAATTCATTTTAATATTCAGTTTTTATAAATAAATATTTTATAATATTTAAATATCTATATATTTATATTAAAAAATATACTTTTATTTTATAATCGTTTTTATTATTATTATTATCATTTATATCGCAATTCTAATCAAGTGTTTTTTAATATTAAAATGCATTTAAACAAACAAAATTATGTATTAAAGGCCTTATCCTTTCAAATATATCCACATTTTTATCCTCAAAATACTTTTCACAGTTTTTAAAAAAAGGTATTTAAAAAGGGGGAGAAACCTTTACATACATGCATGCATGCATGCATAAACATATATGACATTGACATATATATTAAACATATATGACACAGTCATATGACATATGACTGTGCCATTAAATGGTTACTTTTTCTGTAATATCAGCTACTGCTAGGTATCATTACAATTAAATTGTAATGTTACTTTGTGATGTCCTGCAGAAGAACATGCCGTTCTGGAGAGTGACGTGCCGGGCGGATCTGGAGGCGTTGAGTCACGCACTTGAGCTGGATTACCTCTAGACGGCAGCATCTGTCCGTCTGCTGTCTCCCCCGCATGTGTGGTCCACAGGGATCACATGACCCAGCCAAGAACTGCAGGACCAATCAGCAGGGAGCAGCAATCTTAATGGAAACGTTTGCTTCAAATCAATCCAAGAAAAATGCTTTTGTCTCTTTCTCGCGCTCCACCTGAGAGGCTCAGCTCTTTCATTCACTCGCTTTTCTTCACAACAGCACTGCACTGAAAACAAAGACCCTTCAGCGACTGATTCAGAAAGCCTGTGTTCGGAATGACATACTATCACACTACTCGTACTATTTCTGCAGTATGCAGTATATATACTGTGCACAGTGTGTATTTTGTTTGTGCAGAAACCCAGATGACAATGGAGCACAACACATGGGTATCCCAGAATGCAATGCACTTGACTTGACTTTACACAGCTCATCTCTGGACTACCAAAAAATGAAAACAATTCCCAAAAAAAATTTTTTTATTTCTGAGATGAAACTAGAAGTCATGTGACAATAATGTAGCAAACTACTGTTTGAAATGTTTATCATAATGCATAATGTGTACTATTTTTTATATTAAGCAGTATACAGTGTAAAGTGTGCAGTATGCTGTAATGTTTGTTAGTATTGTTTTCTGAGCATAGCCATTCTGAAACAACCCATTTTAAGGATGAAAGGGGTGTAAAAATAGAAGATTTTAGCATCAGAAATAAGATTTACATTTCTTACAGCATTAAATCATATGCATTTCCATGAAAAAAACACCAAATTCATAAGTGAAGAGAAAAAATACAAGATTTGATCATTTTATGTAATCAGAACTGAGATTTTTCTTGCAATATCATACCAAATTGATTGAATATTGCACCACACGTAAAAAGAATAATTCAATGTTAACTACATTAAAATGCATTAAAATGAAGATATTGTACTAAAACTACAGAAAAACTAACCCCTCACTTTTTGAGTACAAAGTACTGCAAATCCACTTATTTTAATGGAAACCTCTGAATAGATTTAAAAGTGAACTAACCATGAAATTAGCCAAAGTATTGTAGCGAATGACACTGCTACTGGTACTAAAAGAAATGACATGATTAACTTATGAATGTCAGTGTCCTGTGAGTTTCTGACTTCTTTTCTTCCTGTCTCTCTGATGTTTGCCTGAACATCATGTGGTTTGTTACTGATGTGTATTTGTTATTTTGCTGAAGTTGATATACTGTATACTGTACTGTATGTGCCGCTCTGACCTGCATGTGCTCTTCGCAACCGCTTCTTTTCGCTATGATTTGTATATAAGGTTTTATTGTTGATTATTTCTGGGCTTATTATAATAGAATAAAGATAAATTAATTTCATTCTCAAGTTCCCTTCTTAAAGCAGCTTTTGCCTTATGTTAATTGGCATAAACAGTAATGCAAAATTATTATTTAGTCTTTTTTAAGGGTATGAATCTCACAAAAAAATATCCAGCTCAAATGTCACTCTAAAATCAAAAGGAAAATAAAATTGTATTTTGCATAAACAAAACAATGCCTTTTTGAATACTGAAAAATCCTTAGATGCAATTTCTATAAAAAATTAAACGCATTAAACACCAATTTTAAATTATAAGGCAAATAAAGTTAAATATTTATTATATAAATTTAATATTTAATTATATATTATTTAATTTATATAAATATTATTACATTTTTTAAAATTCTTTACCATCTCTGAGTGTCAACAGCTCCTTTGAATCACATTCAGCCACTATTACCCACCCTCTTAAAATCCATTTTATAGTTGTTTATCGACCCCCAGGACCACTAGGTAACTTCATGGAAGAAGACTTCAAGGAATTAGATGTGCTGCTCTCAACCTTTCCTGAGGATGGTACTCCCCTAGTTATGTTTGGAAACTTCAACATCCACCTAGATAAACCTCAAACTGCAGACTTCCACACTCTGCTTGCCTCTTTTGATCTCAAGCGAGTGTTAACTACGGCTACACACAAATCAGGCAAGCAACTGGACTTTATTTACACACGACACGCTCCACTGATCATGTGCTGATTACTCCACTGCACACCTCGGATCACTTCCTCCTCACTCTTAACCTCAACATGGTTCCTGACACAACACATACCCGTTTGGAAACTTCAACATCCACCTAGATAAACCTCAAACTGCAGACTTCCACACTCTGCTTGCCTCTTTTGATCTCAAGCGAGTGTTAACTACGGCTACACACAAATCAGGCAAGCAACTGGACTTTATTTACACACGACACGCTCCACTGATCATGTGCTGATTACTCCACTGCACACCTCGGATCACTTCCTCCTCACTCTTAACCTCAACATGGTTCCTGACACAACACATACCCCTACACATGTCACTTTTCGACGTAACCTACACTCTCTCTCACCCTCCCGGCTTACTATCACAACAAAATTAACAATTCGCCTAACTCTCGCATGCCCTATTAAAACATTTTCCTCCCTTATTTGTCCTCCTCCTCCCCCTTCTTCATCAACTCTAACAGCTGACAACTTTGCCACATTCTTCATCAATAAAATTACAAACCTCAGTCCACAATTTGCCACACCACAAACTGTCAAACATCTTACCAGCAAACATACTCGTTTTCATCCTTCTCTCCACTCTCTGAGGCAGAAGTCTCTAAACTCATCCTTTCCAATCATCCTACTACTTGTCCACTTGATCCTATCCCCACTCACCTCCTTCAGGCCATTTCTTCTTCAGTCATACCTTCGCTTACTCACATTATCAACACCTCTCTTCACACTGGTACATTTCCCACAGCATTTAAGCAGGCTCGGGTGTCAGTCATGGCCTCCTAATAATTCCCATCCACTTGATTGGCTCTATCTCTCTCTCCACTCCACCTGTAGCTGGTGTGTGGTGAGCGCACTGGCGCCGTTGTGCTGTGGCTGCCGTCGCATCATCCAAGTGGATGCTGTACACTGGTGGTGGTTGAGGAAGAGACTCCCTCATGACTGTAAAGCACTTTGGGTGTACAGCAATACACAATAAAGCGCTATATAAA